GATTTGAATAAATAAATTAAAAATCACTCAGTGGAACATTTTGATAGAACGTATTGATAGCTTCACAATACTGTTCTACAGTGTGCGTTTGCACTGGGAAACTAGCCAGCTCAATGTCTGCTCAAAATATGTGTCCTGCGGACAGACACAAAACGTGTTATGTTCAAAGAGGAACAGCACACACAGAATGTGTTATGGTTTGAATTTTTATTTTGAAGTGAACACAATGTAAAATTTTTTGTCCGGTATGCGGTCCAAGCTCACAACAAGTTTCTGAAAACAGATGATGAACCTTCAAATCCCAATGGTTAAAACTTAAAGTAACACCTGTGTATCGTAGAAAGAAAGCATTTTTCTCAAAAGCAGGGTTACGTAATGGGCACTTATTCTCTGTAATTTTGGGGAGTGCCCTCTTAAACTTCACCGCAATACACGAAGGTAACTCAGCAGGCAGTACTGAATAATGCATTAAAAATTTGTGCGATCGGATGTGTTCAATGATACCAATTTAATTACTGCTGGTGGTCTTTCCTACACATCCAACCAGCTCAGTTCAATTCATTTCACTAAATTGCGTTGACGTTCAACAAGCAGCGCAAGAAGCAATGTCCAAAATGGCTGGGCATACATAGGGTATAATTAAAAAGAGAACAAGAAAAATCAAGTTATTTTAGTTGTGGTAGTCTGCTTCGCAGCTCAAAATAAAACAAAGACACACAAAAATTTGCAATAACTTAAAAAGACAAAAGGGTAAAACGGATATGCTCCCATACGAAGACGTTATTTGTTACCATTCAGCAGCCATGTTACCTAGAACTACATAAAAGTTACAAGCACAATTTTTCCAACACGTCACACTTCCTTGAGAACAAGCTGGAAATGAAAAAAAAAATTCTAACACGTCACAACGACTGCAGATATAACGCTGTGCGGCCACGAGGCGCTGTCAGTGGCAACAAGTATAAAACATAAGTGCTCTTCTCAACCATCTGATGAGCCAAGGTGATTGTGTTATTCTAAACCTTCTCTGTGCCGCTTCATGGCGACAGTTTTATTAGAAAGCTCGAAGAAATCATTTAGCAGTACATTTTCTTTTACCTTTTAGCTTGCGCTTCACGCACGCATATTCGGCAAGTGAGCATTCGATTGCATGCACCCCCCTCTGGGCACCCTGTGTCATAGTGGGAGGTGCACCTGAAAAAATATACCAATCTGTGTTTGGTCCTCATACAGTAGAACCACGTCTGCCCACCACGGTTGTATTTCACTTAGTGCACCCGGTGAGAATATGCTGACGCCAAGGTTCAGAGACGTAGCCAGAAAATGTATTTTCGAGAGTGGGGGGGGGGGGGGGGGGCGAGGTCAACCACTTTTTATGTATTTTCGTGCGTGTGCATGTGTGCGTATATATATACACATGAAACATTAAACATTTTTTTGTTGAGGGGGTGGGCATTTCGATTTCCCACCCCCGTCTGCCAAGGTCTTACCAAAGGTTAATGGAATGAAGCGTAATGGTCCGCATTGAAATTTACAAGCGCTAGACGTCAGAAAATGCGATAAACTACGCAAGCGTGCTTCTTCGTCTGCTATTTGCTGCTCATCTCAGTTGTAGCAGAGACGCATAGCTGATGTACATAACAGACTCCTATAGTGTGGTGTATCCATTTCACGTGCCGGGCAAAGCCACAGTGTCACCTTTATTAGGAAGGTGCGTTCGTTACGAATGTTCTAACATGAACATTATTTTTAAACTGCTGGTCGCTACACAGGTTATACGAGGAGTGCCGGATATTGAAGTGCTTTAAAACGCCATGTAACATAGTTGAAGTCATCGAGAGCACTGCGGAGTTGGTCATGCAAAGTCAAGTCTCGTGCTCAAACTGCGATACCGAAGTAGTGGATGTTTTCACATCGCGATTCGCAATATTCGATGGTTGGATTTCTAGCCTGGGACTCTTACTCCATAGGGTTCAACTACCGATCAACTATAAGGACACCAAATTAATGTGTTTTGGTGGCTACACCAATGCCACCACAAAAATAACATGAATGCGGGGGCCGTATATGTGATTGTCTAGTACAGAAATTCTATCTATAATTTGTTGTATAAAATTTCGTTTGTGGGTTACAAATGCTAGAAAGATATTATTTGATAGCGTGAAAATCATACATGTTATTAAGACGTTTCAGAAATGTATTTTAGAATTGGCAAATTTTCTCGCGCTCCTCTTGTGACATGTTTTCACCGCACGTAGTAATGGTAGAGGCGGCCTATAAGTTTTTTGGAGTGGCAGACACCAGATGAGCGGGTGGTGCTGCCGACTCATTCCCCAGTTCCCATAGATTACAAGGCGTCCAACTACTATGTTCACTTCCTCGTTCCCCATATACCCCATGAGAAGTAGACAGTCACGCCATGGCACGTTTTTCTGCATTTTTCAGTTTTAAAGCGAGTTTCGCAAGCTAGAAACCTGCTTTCCAGACTGACCTCTCCTCATTCTCGTCATTAAGCCTCTTTTTGTTTCTTCGGCGATAATATTAAAGCAAACCTGACTTTCGCAATAAACTTATTCGGAGCTGCGAGAGAATTACAACGGTGTGGGCGTTCTTTCGTAGGTTAGGTATCCTTATGGCCTTCCAAGGAATGACTTCCACTTTTCATTAATGTGATCATCTCTCAAGACAGATTGCACAAGCTTTGTGCAGCGAAGTTAAAGGTAAATATTTTGCTGCTCTCAACATTGTCATTACGTGACTATAGCTACATCTAGTTTTAGGTCACATGCTGTGACGAAGGGCAAATAGCAGCTTCAAGCTCCGCGCAGCGAATGTACACGCAACAAAATGAAAAGGGAAAGGAAATGGGATGACTAGAAATGTATTTGTAGTTCTTCGGCTAATAGGTTGACCGTACTAGTACAGGCACAAAGCTTGACGAGAGTAATGTAGTAATTTAGTCAGATGTTCATGTAGAAATGAGATCGAAACTGCAAGTTAACCAATTGGTTGGCACACGTTTTTGATGAAAGCATCCATAACGTGCAATGCTCGAGTGCAGTAATTTGAGCAAATGAAAAAACTGACACGCTTTTAGTTGAATCTCCCATATACGAAGAGCCCGGTACTTGTTATGTAAGACATATACGGTACAGGTAACCCGGTAATATAATGGGTGACATATCCCAATTCAGGTTGTCTTTCATATCGTTGCGTTTACTACGTTCTTTCTTTAAAACGTCTCTTGAGTAAGTTTTGCACACGTCTTCCTATATGGGCTCGCACCATAGGGTGCCAGACAACTAAACCGGCGATGGCGTAACTTAAAGGGGCCCTGCAGTGCTGTTTGAGCATGGTCAGAAAACGCTGCTGATTAGTAGTAGAGGCCCTCGAGAACACGTGATCGAGATGTTATAGCGCCGCACGTGGCCTGGAATTCACAATATATTATCAAAGCCAGTTGAAAATTTCTTTCTATTTTCTCGACGAATGACGAAGGAAACTCGAAAATCACTGGTAGAAGGCCGTTTATCAGCCATTGGCTGATTTGAACATGGTGTGCTCAGTCGTTACAGGGATCGCCGCGAGAGGGCGTGACTTGCCCACGCACGCGCGTGCGATCACTCTGAAAAGGCCGCATATTCAAAGAAAAAAAAAAAGAAAAAGTGCTCAAGGTAGTGAGGTGCACTTGACGTGTTTTTTTGTACTCCCTGCTTAGCTTCCAGTGTTTTCGTGGGCACGAGAGAAGGGAGAATGCGATTGCAGCGTGTGACAAATCATTGTAACTTCGCTCGTACTGGATTCTTAAAATTTTTGCAGGGTTGAGTTCGTTAGGCAATGAGCTCTTTGAGCGTTTCAGGGCCCCTTTAAGAGAAACAAAAGCATAACAATAAGGACTGCATGGCAATTGGTGAGGTGCTCAGTTTTTTTTTACTACAGGTAAAGTGTAAATGGAACTCGGAACTTTCACATCACGCCCCGCAGCGCCACGACGCACGAAAAACACGTGATCGATCGGCGACCTGAAAGCAGCAGCACCGGCAGCCACTCACTGCCTGTAAGGCTCAACTCCTAAAAGATGAACGTATATGACATTATTCCTTTCTTCTACCAGAATATAATTATGCGAAGAACCTTTTTGCGCGCCGCAACCACGCACGTACAACCATACAAACAGAAACATTTTTGTTCAATCACTGTAGGCAGGGAACATGTTTGAAATCGTTGATGCACAGGCGATGGTATTTGCACACGCCGCCCAATAACTGCTTACGAACGGGTATTTTGTTCTAAGGCATACTAATTGTATAATCATTCGTGTTTTACGTTCAGGCTTACGAAAAGTGCCGATATGAGAGTCGAGATTGGAGAGAACCACAATACTTGTCATTTCTTTTTTTTCCTTAGACGCAAACACAGTGTAATCAATCACACATAGAAACTTTCAACGCAGGTGAACATAGAGTGAATGTTTTTTATATTGTAACGCCACAGGATAAGGCCTTGGGGAGAAAATTAGCTGAAAACATGAAGTTTCAGGTATATAGTTTGTTTGGTTTTATTATTTCGCTCAGATGGTGAGTGTGGTTGTTTTGTACTGTTGTGGGTCTTTCGCGCTCCAGTCCCACCATTCAATCTGGTCGTCCATATGAGGAATTATTGGTTTGACTCGCGACTTGACAATGCACAACAACAATAATGTTGACCAAGAATGGCAACAGCAGTTTTTTTTTCCTGACTAGCTCAGCACAGCTAGTGCAACAAACCTACGTGATCACTTGCCGATGATGAATTATTGATAACTTCTGGCTTCCTCGAAAGATCATAAGAAAAAATTGTCTGAACCAGCGCATGCATAGCGACGAACTTGTAATGACAAAAGCGACATTCATAATACTACGCATATGACATAGCGCCCACGACATTACTGGATATTAGACAAAAAAACAATAAAACATGAAATTCATACAAAATGAATATTTTTTCAATGCATGTCACTAGTTCCCGTATCAATTTGCGGCCGTTTAGTGGCTGTAGCTTTTTGTGGTGCACAGCCATGAGATAATACGCGTATCACGCTAAGAAAACGTGATGGCAGCATTTATTTGTACAAGCCGGCGCGGCGCCGGTGGGAAAACGCCTCTGCAGCACACTTCAGAGTCCCCTTGACAGTTGCTTGCCCATAAAGTTTTCACGAGCGGTGCCAGCTTGATTGTCCGAAACGTTATTGCATGGGTGGGCAGACGCGAAACATCAGTTGTGCAAGACACGCAGCATATTTTTGTTTTCGCTGCTGAGTTATTAAGACTCCCCTCCAACGGCCCTGCGGCTCTTCGGTGCGCGTTATTTTAATGCTGTGTCTCGCTTTTATCGCGTTTTGCGGAATAAATATTCTTTAATACACATTACTTTTACCATCCCTTCATTGATCGCATGTGTAAGCGGCGACCTCTTGCATGTGCGTAGGGTTTCCTACATATACCGAAAATTTTCCATGCACTATGTAGTGTAGCGGTTTCAGCAGTGGGCTCGTTAGAGATAACGAGTGAACAATTATTCCGAAGAGGGTAACATTCAAAACTAGTAGTCTCGCGTGAATACAGATTTCATATCTGTAGTAGTACGTGGGAGGCTAACATTTTTCAATAATACAAAATAAACAATCCAGCATGTATTACTGAAGCAATTGATGCCGCTCAATTTATTGGACCTGCATAATAATGTGTGGCCAGCGGTCATCGAATTTCAGTCTTGCTGTGGTGCTACACAGCTCGGATGTGGTCAGTCTCTATGTTAAAAATATTTACGCTTTAAAGTATTATATCCCTGATGTCTCTACAACTACGCAGCTTCTGTGGCACTTGAAAAGTCTTGGCCTAGAACAACGCGTTGTTTCATATAACTTTCGGTACTATTGGGCCCGTATTCAATACTCACGTACTAGGCTGGAAGTTTTAGTTAGAGAAAATGTGCGCCACTCTTGATGCTCGATATATCATTTATAAAAGCCAATGGCAAAGAGCACCTGCGATCTCAGAAACGATGCGAATTGAATCCCTGGTAACGCAATGAGAGTTTTTTATAAGCAGCATTATTTTACAGCAATTGTTTACCACTAAAGAAGTAACTGAGTGCCACTTAAAAAACTATAAATGGCAGGCCACTACTCCACAGATGAGAATCTTTCATTGTGGTTGTCACACACAATTCTATTTTACTGTATTTACACAATACAAAATTTCGTGAAGCTCGTGGTTCATAGAGAGGAGGCTGAAGTGCGTAGAAACTCCAGATTTAGGATACATGGTGGTCGGGTAACGATTGTAATTTTTTGTTTATTTATTTGGTGACTGCATACAATAAAGAAAGTAAAATAACCTTGGTTAAGATAAAGCAGCATAAAAATATTCTATAAAATTTCAACAGTGTCCTGCTGAGAGCTGAGTAGCAATTCTATATAATGAAGTGTAAGGAACCTTTAAAAGCAGTGCCGTCATATATGCAACTGTAACTCGCGCTGAATTCAGATCAATCGTCACTGCAGTGTCGATTACCAATTGTACTGGATGGAGATTAGTGACTTCATCGTGTTCCTGAGTGCAGACTGAACGTGCTTTACAGGCGTAGTCCTGAAGCTAAGCGCTTTCAGGATTGCCGCACCCATGCAAAAGGAACACCACGCCATGGGAATCGCTTCCTGTTGGATCACTCCCAGCTTCCGCGCGATCAAGCTGACACCGACTACATGCAACTCGTTGACCCGAATTGAGCAAGCAAGGCCACAGAGTAACCTTTTACATTACTCTATGGCAAAGCCACGCCGCTCTGACGAGCCGAAACCAACACCGGTCATTCAAGCGGAGGGTGGTTCCAAGCGCACGCACTGTCTCTAGGTGTCGGCTCGGCTGTCGATGGTCAGCTTGGCAATGTCCTCGGAGACGCAGTCGGCGACAGAGTCCACAGAGTCGTCGGGCTGGAGTGCCGAGGGGAGTGGCGTGCGGTTCGCACCATGCTGCGGAGGCCGTGGGAGCATGATTCGAAATGGCAAGCGTACCACGAGGGGCCGGTCGATACAACTCAGGATGGCCTTGACCTTGACCTCGTAGCTAACATTGACCCCGTAGGGGTTCTTATCGCGTGGGTTCAGTAGCACTGTGGTCGACGAAAGGTTGTACGTGTTCACGTCGTCCTCATGAAACTCGCTCTCCACGGCCAGCGCCACGGGGAACTTCTCGCAGCTCTGAAGGCGCACCTCGAAGTCGCGCGACGCGGTGGTGCCCGGAAGCACGGTGCGGCCGGGACCCGTGTCTGCGCTGCCAATCAGATTCTTGAATCGGCCGTGCGTGAACATGCAGACGTGCACGTGCTGCAGGACGGCCACCTTAAGACGTTGCACCGTCTTGGAGGAACCGTTGTTCATGGTGACGTGGATGCGCACCACCTGTGAGAGCACAATGCGTCATCAGCCACGAATAATGGCCATGCCCATATTTATTCATGTCTACGCAATTCCTCTCGCCATTCCCATTCTTTGATGGAACTTGCCAGTTCGAAGCCGTACTTTATGTATTCGTTCATTGGAACTGAAAGTATGTATTGCTACTTTACCTTTAAGTAAAAAAAACTAAGAAATATCTCTAACAAAGACTCCTTTAAGAAGAATATTTCTATTGCAGACATGGTAGTTGTAACAGCTCAATCAGTTCATCATGACCTACCTATACTGCTGACATTGGTAGTTTTCTTATTGACCAAATGATTACAAGCCTAGGCAGAGTCAGCAGGGGCTGACTCTCCACTTTTTGCCTGTGCTCGCTCAAAAGCTGGGCATTATACCCGAGAGGCTGATAAGCTAACAGGTGCTGTATCGATCTGTTCAGGACAGTCCTCAAAGTGCGACTGAGTTTCTCAATCCGAAGGTTTGGTTACCATGCCCCGAAACAGCATGCGACTCTCGCAGGGCTGTTTCGGGGCATGGTAACCCAACAGCATCATATTGCTGTTGAAGCTGGTCGCTTCAACAGCAATATGATGCTTCATAAATACCCCAAAGGCTTCGCAAATTTGAGCATTCTTACAACCTGAACCACTCTGTGCCATCCGACAAAGTGGAGGAGACCAGAAAATAACGAAAAAAAAATATCGCATGACCACAAGGAGCTCAATCCAAATCTCATTATCACAGCGCATGGCCTCTGAGATGGCGTGCGCGTGGCGTGTTTCTCTTCGGCCGTCCCGATCACCGCGCTCCACAGAAAAATGATCGAGTATCACCTCGCTCGCCCGGCTACTGCGAGAGGGCGCGTATTCCGCCGGCGGTGGTGAGCGCAGCAGACAGCAGAGCGCATGGGATTCTAGCATGCGAATTTTTTTTTTGTGTACGAGCAAGAATACTCGGCAAAATTTCTGGCTGAGCTAAAGGAAAGCATTTTTTTTCTGTTACTGCATTTATTTTGGTCCAATTTACAAAAAAAAGCATGGAAACTGCTGCATATTCTTGATAGGTATTTGTAAGAAGGTATCAACTAGTCTGTTGAAGTATTATACCTTTTCTTATTACGGTCCATTTTTTCTCGGCGCTAAACAACTTGATTTAAGAAATATAGAGTCATTTCTGCATTACTACTTTGAAGAGACTTGTATAGGGGAAAACTGGGCTAACTATCGTCGTTGAATCGCATTGCTCGCCTATCCGTACGGATATTTATGAAATGGTGAACCGAAGCGCCGTTACGCTCTAAATAACTGGGTGCCCTGATCATGTCATTGAAATAAGGTACGTGAGAAGTGATTTTGCCTGAATAAAGGCTTCGATTAGCCTACCTACATTCACTCCCCACGTCTTTCACGGTGAAAGTGCCTGAGTTGTCGTCGTCTGGTTTTTCGTCACCTGGATTTTGATTATGTTTTGGTAGCACAATGGCAATATCAGTGTCGGGTTTATTTACTGTGGCTCTCGACTCCATACAAATCGAAGGGTCGCACATGAAGCAGAATGGCGCTTTCATCCAGATAGACTACTGGCCCTGCTACGTAACGTGCAGTTTTTCATACCAGGTACACCAAACTCTGAACGCGTGTTGCGTTCGTCTTGAACACTTGAGCTAAAGATTTCGGTGTTCATTTCAACATTGGGCAACCATTGAACACCGTGAAACTCGCAGTGAGAATTTGCGACCATTCGCACTGTGACTAATGCGCGGCTGTGATTACATCAGCGTGTCTGTGAGAATTCCTAAAACGGCGTTACAATAAAAACAGCGCTTGTTTCACGAGAGGGAAGAAAAAGGAACCCATTTATTCGAGTGTATTTTGTGAGCGTAGAACACGGAACTTGATATTCTGACTTCGGTGACGGATTGGGCTGTCACTTTTTTTCTCTTCGCCAGTGCCCCAATAGTATACAGCCCTCAAACTTTTAAGTATAGGAAGTCTCCAGCACATGCGGACCTCTTGCAGAGGCATCGCAATTATAAGTGCTCCAATATGAGCGTCGCAAATGTACAGCAAAAGCAAATACCATTTGAGAAAATATACACGCTGCAGCACTGACTTTGTTTCTCGTACACCTTGATCCCACATTTCCAAATGGGCACGACGTTATATAAAAGCGTGAAACCTTTGTTTTCGCCGATCCAAAAGCGCGGCAGCCTTTTCGATGGATCGATGTATCTCGTTGTCTTCTGTATATCGGGCGGTGGCTCACGCCACCTAGCCATAAAGTTAAGCACTATCACTATGTGTTTAAGGATTGAATTTCACTTGCGACTTGATTGTAGCCACCAATCAGTTAGCCTCTTCTTGGTTATTTCTATCCGTTTAAAGCACATTTTGCCTTGACGTTCCCTGAACCCCAATGATTTGAAAAATTTGGCGCCATTAGCTCTTTACAGAACATAATCAAGTATTCAGCCGTTTCCTCCTCTTTTCCACACACACACCACATGCCCCGTCTATGCCTTGGTATTTGGCTTGGTACGTCTTGGTTCGCGATACTCCCGTTCTGGCCTCGAACAGCGCAGAACTACCCCGAGAGTTATCCCAGACCTTTTGTTCTGCAATTTCCTGCTTGAAAGTTTGGTATGTCTCTAGTGATGATTTCATACCCATTCCAATTTTCCACATGTCCCCCTCTGTTTCCTTAACCTTCTTCTTAACCGATGGTTCCGTTTGGCTTGTAACTCTGCTGTTGTATAAATACTTGCTTGGCAATTTTCGAGTTCGCATTCTTTATTTAGTATTACCATTCTTCATGCACAAGTAGCTGAAAACTTTCCTAGCCCAATGCTCCTCTCCAATTTTTATCAATCGCTCCTCAAATTCTATCTTGCTGCTAGCTCCCCTGCACTCAAACGATGTATATCCCATGTCCACCTGTACCCCCTAATTCGGGATATTCCAGTGTGCTCCCAAAGCAAGTCAATCTACGCCACGTTGTTTAATTCCTAACCTGGCTTGAACCTCTGATTTCATGCACAAGACCGCATTTCCGAACGTCAAACGTGGGACCAAGACGCCTTTCCAAATCCCTCTCACAACGTCATACCTATAGTAGTTCCACAGTGCCCTATTTTGTATTACCGCTGTATTCCTGTTACCCTTAGTCATTACAAATCTTTCGTGCTCGCTTAGGCACTCAGCCCCGTTATTTATCCATACGCCCAAATATTCGTGATACGCCCAAAAGATCGTGATTGCCAATTTTTCCCGGCTGAACTTCATATTTAACCTATTTACCTCATTACCACAGATGTCTATGAACCACTGGAGATCTCCCTTGTTGTCGGCTATTAATACTATATCATCTGCTTACATCAATGCTGGTAATGACTGTTGGATGTGTTTTCCTTGCTTGGCAAAAGGCAGACTGAAGCCGAGTCGACTCCCTCTAATTTGGCTTCTAGTCCCTGGAGGTATAGCATAAATACCGAAGGTGACAAGGGACATCCATGTGAAAGCCCGCGTTGTATATCTATAGGTTCAGATACCTGTTCTTCCCATTTTATAACTACCTCGTTACTTTTATATTATTCCTCTGGAAGATTAGTAATTCCATCTTCCACATCTAGTGTGTCCAGTATTCCCCGCAAGTCTTTTTGAATCACACTATCGTAAGCTCCCTTGATATCTAGAAATGCCAGCCACAGGAGCCTGTGTTGTTTTCCCGCTATTTCAATACACTTCATAAATGAAAACAGATTGTCCCCAACCTCTTTTGTTTACGGAACCCATTTTGTGGTTCTCCCAGCACCCCCTCATTTTCCACCCATGTCTGTAGTCTTTCATTTACTATCTGCTTCACCAGCCTGTAAACTACTGATATCACTGTTACAGGACGGTAGTTGTTTATATCAGCTTTCTCCCCCTTTTCTTTATAGATCATGCTCATCCTGCTTAGCTTCACCATCCATTATTGCTTTGCTCGCTGCCTCTCTCAATGTTTGCTTAGAGTTGGGTTCTAGTTTTTTATTAGCATAATTGCGATGCTGTCAGGAACTGTTGATGTGCTATTAGGAACCCTTTTCTCTGCCTTTTCCCACTGTTGTTGTCCCAGAGAAGCCACTGTGCTGATTGGTTTATCCCCATCTGGTACGATGTATGCAGAGCTTTCTTGGTATTTCAATTTTTTTGTCATCATTGTTTTTATATATTTCATTCTCTCATCCCCTTCTAGTCTAAACCCTTGAAGTTTAGTTATAAATCTCTGCCCAATGCTTGTTTTATTACTCAGAGAATTATGATGGTTCCAAAACTTTGCAGTGGCATTTGGTGCTTTTTGCTTACTTCCACCATACATTGGGCCACCTTCTAATTTTTTCACTGATAAGATCGGACACTTGTATTCTACTGCTCAAAGAGTTATCCCATGTTCTTTTGACACTATCTTCCGGTTCACCCCTATGTTTAGCATACCTGTGTTACCTGGACGCTTCCTGACGTCTTACTATGGCTCTCTCAACTTCATCATCCCACCAGTTTTTGGGTTTGTCTCTCCTTTTTCCGATCCATTTGACTCGTACCTTAGCAAGCTCTAACTCAAACAATCGAGTTGGATTTGTGTACATCCACTCTGCTTTAGTATCCTCAGTGATTATTTTCTCAATTTCTTTAGTTGCTGTTTCTATTTGCCTTTTTAAATAAATATTACCGTGTGGTTGCTCATATTGCATCCTTTCCACTTTCATTTCTCTTCCAAAACTCAGCTTGATACGTTTGTGATCACTACTGATGCTTCTGGACCCGTATTCGTCTATGTTCATCACCCTTAGCCGATCACCCAACCTATGTGACATCATTGCGTAATCTATCGACGACTGCAGCCTTCCCACCTCCCATGTTATCTGCACTTCGCTTTTCTCAGTACTGTTGCAAAGGATTAAATCATGCCTTCCACACATATTAGCATTCTTCCCGTTGCGTCCGTATATCCATCCATATTTTCTATGTGCGCATTCATTTAATGAATTCTTGAATTCCTCTAGTTCCTTGCATTTTTCTAGTTCGTCAATGTCATTTTCTATGCACTGCACCATTTCTTGGTTTTCCTCTTTGGCTTTTGCCCCAGTCAACAAGTATACAAAACCCAGGAGTGTCATCTGCCGTGCCACTTTCCCTTTTAGCCACAAATGTTCCCTGCACTCCTGCTTGACCCTTTTCCAGTCTGTACTTTTACGAATGAATGCCCCAACAGCACCCCCCTTTCGGCTGCATTCTGTTCGATTACAATATTCCCATGCCTAGTCCAGGTTGCTATATGGTGGCTGTTCCATGTCCCTAAGATGTGTTTCTACAAGCCCACATACCAGCAGCTTCTCCTCCCTTAGCTGTTCTTCTATATCACCTCATTTCATCCTATTCCTGCCACCCTGAATGTTAATATACCCCACGTCGTAATTGGCTCGGCCCTCGTGCCTACGTCGATTTCTCCCTCGGACTCTGCGTGTCTTAGATATTGGTGCAACTTTGGAATCGTATCTGCTTATACCACCAGTCAAAGAGTCCCCGTGGTTGTTTTCCTCGTTACTAGCTACCCTGAACCCCGAAGGGCCACAAATCGAAGTGAATTCTGTCTCGTTCAATACTACCCCACCTATGCACCTCTCTATTAAATCTTCTGTGGGAGCCCCGCGGTGCGGAGAAAAGAGCAGGACACGCCCACCTCCGGAAAAATGCTCTCTCCATGTGAATGGGACGGCGTGAGAAAAACACGCCGCGCGCCCAGCATCTGGGAGACCATGCATAACGCAAAAAAAAAAAAAGACGGCGGCTGTGGGATAACTCTGGTAAGGGTTTTCATGGAACACCCGCAATATAGCAGAAGAATTTGGTGTCTTTCAATTTTACTGGGAAATATCTTTTGTGTTTCGGACAAGTTTGCGTGTTTAGAAGCTTTCCACCCAAGCAATTAAATAAAATTCTAGAAGTTAACGTGACCAAAGCATTACAGGATAAATATGTGCTGTAGTGGTGGGCTCCGAATTGATTTCGACAACTCGGGATTCGTCCACGTGTATACCGAAAAGTACAGTGCAGTTTTTGCGTGTGTCCCCCATCGGAACACAATCGCCATAGCCAGGAGTCAAACTAGCGTCCTTGAGGTACGCAGCAAACTTTACGCTTCATATTAGTTATTCTATCAATTTTTTTTTATTCTGCCAGAGTTAATCACCGTGGTCATGCTTGACACTTAGACGACGGGATAAGATAAGAAGCTTCTGTTGATTGATTGATATATGGGGCTTAACGTCCTAAAACTATTATATGATTATGAGAGGCGCCTTAGTGGAGGGCTCTGGAAATTTCGACCACCTGAGGTTCTTTAAAAGCTTCTGTTCAATCATAATATTAAATGTTGTGATTGCGTGTTCACCCGACTACTGAATTATCTGCGAGTGTTGTCTCTTAAGCTTAGTACTTGTGTCATGCAGTAATGCGAATACCAGCACCACCGGAAGTTGAAAATATTACCTCGGGGGTGATGTGAGACAGTAAATCAAGCATGTACGTGCGCTGTAGCAACCATGGTGAAGGTTGAATACATTAACAAATTTGTCGTACCTTTCCTTTGGTGCCATTGTTGTACTGCCTCAGCCAGACTAAAAAATTAAGCGCGTGCATGGCGAGAAAGTATATTCACAGAGGCAGCGCATCACAGAGGTGCGATAGTAAAAGTGCTCATGGTAACGGCCCGGACATACTTCTTTTTTTCAATCACGAGCAAGAATTAAGGGGAGTGGGCTTTCCGAAGTTTTTTTGAGAGCGATAATTTTTCGTAAGCTCCTCTGGTGGTGCAGGGGGGGATTAAAAACAATTCTAGTGTTCCCTAGCACTTTGTGACTGTCATGCCATCCAGGCACTAAGTTAGGTATACGTTAGAAATCAAAGCAACTGTACACGATTTGGTGAATGGCACGCCCATCGGCCAGTCAGCGAACTGTTCGATGATGGTGGTGTTACAAAAAGCACCAAACGTCGTTTTACTTACTTAGAAAAGCAACACAATTTATGTTGGTGTGTAAGGCTGGTGTGAAAAAAAACTGCATATTTCCAGAAGAGGTGAGGGAAAGAATGTGCGTATATAACTGCCAGAAACAATGTCGCCTGTGTAAGGTCAGCGCCAGAGGCAAACTCCCGAGACTCGCGTGGCACTCACGTCTCCCTGGTGGTACGTTTCTCGGTCCAGCGACGCCTGCAGGTCCAAGCGGCCGGGGCAGAATACGAACGTCTTGCGCACGCTGGCTGAGGGCGGCTGCACAGCCAACGCGTCGGGCGCCGCGTCCGCGTACTGCACGCAGCGGAGGGCCATGCGCACGGTGTTGCGCTTGTGCGGCTTCTCGTCCGACCGTTCGCCTGCGAACAACAACAACAAAAAAAACTGATTGATTGATTTGTGGGGTTTAACGTCCCAAACCCACCATAAAATTATGAGAAACTCCGTAGTGAAGGGCTCCGGAACAATCTGGGGTCATTTAACGTGCACCCAAACCTGAGCACACGGACCTACAGCATTTTTGCCTCAATCGAAAATGCAGCCGCCGTAGCCGGGATTCAATCCCTCGACTTGCGGGTCAGCAGCCGAGTACCTTAGTCACTAGACCACCTCGGTGGGGTGGACGAACAAACAAAAGGCGACACCGTTACATGCGCGCCCTTAAGCTGCACCGTCACTTCGGTTTATCTCCTTCGGAGGGCTGCACATCTTCAGAATGTCGTTGTGGAGTGCGCAGTAAGAAATACAATTATCTGCTTTTGACTGCCAGAAAGGTGGCTGATATGGCTTTAGAGGTACTTTTCTAGCACATCTAATATCACGCTTCCATCGTCGTTGAGGGACAGTCACAGTTAATTATTTGCATGTGTCATCTTGCGTAGTTCATGGAATTGTTCTCGGGTGCCCAACACTTTCAAAATAGGTGTGACCAATATAGCAAACATAACGTACCACAAAAAAAAAAAAATTTGGAGGACGCTTCAGCTTCATGCGCGAAAACAACAATAAAAAAAGAAAAAAATATGCTTTGCCTCTTTAAGATGCTCCCACTTTGAATGTCTTTTTTTTTACGGGACGACGTGCGATTTTATGTTTTTCGTGCAATTATACTTTCTTTTGATTTTGTTTTATAAGAAATTGTTAAAAGGCTTTTTGTGTTAACAGCTTTTTCCAGCGGTCACCCTCTACTACCTGGCGTAAACGAGCTTTAGTATTACTTCATACCTTTCTTGTATTAATATTTGATGCCATAACCACCAATGGACACTCTATCAATGCAATTTTTGTATATTTCTTCATGCGTTAAATGTTGTACCGCATAATCACTTCTATCTAGATGGCAGACGTAGCGGAAGACGAGCTTATTAGTGTGGAGTTTCCTCTCCATGCCTCAACACCAATATGATCTTGTATTATTGCAACTATGAGAAGCGCAAAATTTGTAAGCGCCCTGGAGGACGTGAAGTGGTGGACAGAAAAAGATGCTATTTCTGCAGCCCAAGTAGGAAACACTGTTAAAAGTCAGTTTTATTCACTTGAATATTGTAATGCCGGCAATATCCTGTGTTTGCGGCTCGTGGACATTTATAGTGATACCCTGGGAAGGTGATGGGGCCTCCGCAGGTGAGCCTTTTTCCTATTTATTGGAAGGACTTGTTAGCCAGTAGCAGTCCAAGCACTGTGCGGGGCGTACATTGACGGAGGCGAGTGACGTTTTCGCCCCGTTTTCCGCACTGATTTTTAAAAATTTCCATCCCCCCCCCCCCTGAGAATGGGGAACGGGCATTGTGTATTCCTGTATGCATTCTTTCGGGGCCATCTGCGTGGCTGAAGAAGCCTACACAAACGAATATAGCTTCACAGCGTTTGTATGAGGAGAGAAAAAAGTTGAGCGAGTGTTTGAGAGGCCGAACTGCCCCGCGGTCACCGAAACGGCTACTTGTTCACATTAGAGGTTAAAGCACGTGTAAGAGCATAACCTCTCGTCATCTCGGAGAGCACTCGCAATCTCTAGAGCACAGACGAGCCAAGTACAACTCAGCTGAGGGGAGAAATACCAAGTCTACACATTCTCTTTTTTTTTCTTTTCTGAATCACCCAGGTGCAATGTCACTGCATGCAAGCAAGCTGTCGTGGAAGCCCTGATTTCAGAATTGCTCTTTTCCTCAGAGGATATGCTATAGATACTGTACTGAATGCTACCTCTCACTGAAAATAGCGCACTTTGTGGAGAGAGAAAAAGAGAGACGAGGAAAGGTAACGGCAAATATATCAAGCAGAGCCACGCCAGGTTTGCTACCATGCGCCGGGGAGAGCAATTGAATTATAGAAAAAAGGAAGAGACGAAGAGTGGAGATTCACCAGCGAATGCATATAGACTCAGCACTGCTACTGTAGCGCCGTGAAACGACGCTTCTGTGTGTGAATGCCAGCAATGCAAGCACGAGAAACCCCGTGACTTTTCTCCGTGCTGTTGAAGAGGAAAAAAATAGTCAGACCCCACGTACAGGAGGAATCAATGATACGCGAGACACGAATAATAAGGAAGGTTGATATGTCACTTTAAAATCAGCACAACGTTACAAGGTGGATGTAAATTATGCCGTAGATGTATTCCATTTCATGATTATCATGTTTGGACGTGTCATTTACCTTTGTCGTCTATTCACGTCACGTGACACCAAATTTGGTATATGTTGAGCTAGCGAAACGGCTGCGAGCGCGCTAGGAGGGTAGCATGTAGTCAAGTTTTATATGAGACGTATATCATGATTATCATTTTTGGACGAATCATTTATCTTCGTCGTCCATTAACGTCACGCGATACCAAATTTCATGTATGTGGAGCTAGCGAAATGACCGCGAGCAAGCTATGAGCGTAGCTTCTAGTCATGTTTTACATGATACTCATGTCATGATTATCATGTTTGGATGTGACATTTACCTTCATCGTCCATTCACGTCACGTAATGCCAAATTTGGTATATGCGAAGCTAGCAAAACGGCCGCGAGCACTTCATGAGCAAGGTATCTTGTCATGTTCTTACATGACAAATATGTCATGATTATCATGTTTTCACCAGTCATATACCTTCGACATCTATTGACGTCACGTAATACTAAATTTGGTACATGTGAAGCTTGCGAAAAGGCCGCAAGCGCATCATGAGCGTAGCATACAGTCATGTTCTTACATGACACGCATGTCATGACTGTTATTGAAAATGAAAGACGAAGATGGCCTCGCACTGCGCGCCTACTACCCTCGTTACGATGGAGTGTGAGACTAAACGTAGAAGAAAAAGGCAGGCATGCCATCCGTGAAGCTCGGGAATACTACCCCATCTGGAACTGAGACCGAGACGGCGAGTCATAGATTGAGGAAGCAGCGTCCGTCGCCGGGAGGTTTGCGAGGCGGGAGCCCATCATGATTACTTTGGCTCTGCTCTGCCGTTGCCCTTCAAGAGGACGACCCGAGGTTCACAAGGCTAGGATCCCAATGGAGAGAGGACAGCCGCATCCTGTCAGCCGAGCCCACGGTGCAGCTAACGGTATGTCTCCCCTTTTACTTCATTTTCGTTTCCGCGACAGCTATGAGGCTCGGGAGGCCAGGACAACGAAGTTTTACTATGATGACACCCGTCCTGCAGGCCTAGCCCTGGAAGCCGACTGTTCACTGCTAGACCCGCCGTGTTTGCGCGACGATAGTCAGTTCAAGGGTCCTGAAGTCGAAACGCTGAAGCCTTTAAGTGAGAGTAGTTACGGAAGCCCTACCCATGGATTAGATTGCACAGCAGCAACATTGTTGACTTAGAACAATAACACAGATGTACCGAGAAGCACAAATGAGATGCACATAAGAATTAATGAGGACCCGAAGTGACTCCGATATAGCAGAACGTCAGTGTGAACAGCTGTTAAAGAAGCCTTGAAAGAAAGTGATGAACTATTTTCGTCTACACCACCGCAAATTGACAAGCTCGGAGAATGTTGCTCATATGTTGAATCGATAAAGCAGGAATTGCAGAACGTTGACCGCCAGATTTATGACGTTATACCTATTGAAGAACTAGAAAGTGACGTCGAAAATTGTGAACGCTGTTGTGCCCCGGCCTTGCCGGTCGCTACCGGCATTCGTCGTCCTGAAAGCGACATTCCATAGTGGCTTCATCCCAGTAGTAATGCAGCGAACTCTGCTGGGCCGTTAGCTCGCAGGCCAAAAACCTTTTAGACCCACCTGGCCGATGGACTGCCCGAAGGAACAATTAGTCTGAGCTGCCGACTTCTCTGCATCGCTCGGGTCCTCGGGTCATGCCAGGCAATGGGCCGAGCATCTCGGCTTGATCCGTGAATTCCACATTCCAGGGTCCGCGGCCGTGTCTTGGTGCATTCTCGTCTTCGCGGCCTGCCAGGAGCTAGCAGCACCGGATGAACCGTCTCTGCACGTGAACTTTCAGGTCGTCACACCGTGCCGGTAGGGCCGTGTTGCCTCTTTCTGTGCAACGTGGTGTGTGTGCCTTTGCACTTTCCTAGAAGGAGGCGATTTGCCTTATCGAGAGTGGAGTGAAGGAGGACGATCCTATTGGAGGGCCCTGGACTAAATTGTCTTGCCTTGCAAGGAATCTCGGAAAGACGGAGGATATAAAACATTAGCACAGAGAAGCTCGGTTGTGCTTCTTGTCATGTAGTTTCATTTTACTCTAAACATGTGAACACTGTACATAAACACTTCTTTTTACCAACTCCGTCTGCTCTGCTCGTCTTCTCGTGAGACTCGGATGGCTCCAACCAGGACCACAATACCCAAGGTCACCACAGTCATGGACGTGGTGGCATGTCTCGACCCCTCATTGCTAACAATATTTGACTTTGACGTTTTAAAACCTTATCGAACCTCGAGGTTCTACTAGAGGAACAAAAAGACCATTACGTGCACTTGCACAATCTACAGGAAGTTCCGTGACGGCATCCAAGCCAAGCTTCACTTACGTGCACCGTGAGCGAATGCGCAACGATAGCAACGGAGACAAAAGTGTCAGTGTAGAGGGTTCCATGGTGGATTCGCAACATGGTCTTGGCAATGCGATGCTCAGAGTAAGTAGTGGTGAAGGTGAGGAGAGGATGTTAGCTTCGATTGAGCACAAGTGCTTTGAAACCAAGAGTTTGGCCAAAAATGCTGTCTCAGTGTTTGTTGCGCTATCATCTGTCGGCTCCGGGAGGCCTGAAGATTTTTCAAGCTGTTAAGTAGCCTTTAGAATGTTACAAACGAGATCGTACCCATCACGGGGCCGACTCAGCCATTATAACTCAGACATAAATTCACAGTGCCCAGATTGCACAGAAGTGTACTGTTCACTCG